TCAAAAAACTAGAGCAGAGAGAGGTGGAAGTGCTGATTCACTTTCTGATGAAGGCGAATCTTCACATTCTCTCGCTGGTTCTTCTATCTCAGGAGTTGCCTCGTCAGGGTCTTTCACTTTTGAAGACTCTGAGTTGGATGAGACGTGGGAGGAGGATGATGCTCAATGTATTGCTGATATTTTCATGTCCTTGCAGGAAAAGAAGCAGCATAAGTCTGAACTCATCTTGCTTCGACCCTCCATCCTGGGAGCCAAGATCAAAGGGCTCTTAGACTGTGGGGCTACTCGCAACTTCATCTCTCCAAAGGCAGTCAGCAAGCTGCACTTGGATCAGAGATTGGTGAAATTGCGATAGCCTTTGGAGGTACGCATTGGAGACTCCTCCACAGTCACGATCACCACTGCTGTCAAGGGCCTACCTGTGTCCTTTGACAAGCAGGGGGAAGTCAGGCACCGCCCGAACTTCTATGTGTTTCCTAACGTTCCCTTTGACCTTGTCATCTCTATGGAGTGGCTTGGAGCCACCAATCCTATGATCGACTGGCGGATCCCTAGGGTTGAGCTACCTGACCGGCATGGGGTATATCGCCCTTGCATGCTCGCTGACGAGTACCATCCGGCCAGCAGTTGTTATTGTATGAGTGCTCGCAGATTTCTGCGATTCTCACGCCAGACTGACCACGCTCGTCTGTCCGTGGCCTATGTCAAACAGACTGACGTGGAGACTGCTCCCTGTCCCTCTCAAATTCAGCAGGTTGTCGACAACTTCTCAGATCTTATGGAGGAGCCTACTGGACTTGTCCATAGGCAGACCAAACATAAGATTGAGATCCTGCCTGGTTCAGTCCCTCCCAAGGGCCGGGCCTACAGGATGTCTCCTGCTGAACTTGAAGAGCCCAGGAAATAGTTAGAGACCTTGACCAGCAAGGGTTGGATCATGCCCAGCACATCTGAGTTTGGGGCACCAGTCCTCTTTGTTGCAAAGGGGAATGATGAGTTCAGGATGTGCGTGGACTATAGACTGCGATTCTCACGCCAAAGTTGTTGCCACGATACATGGGTCCATGGCAGGTCTTAGATACAGTGGGAGCAAATCCATTTGGACCATCCTATACAGTGGATGTCCCTCTGCATCTACAAACCTACCCTATCTTTCATGCATCTAAGTTGTTGCCATTCACACACCAGCTGATGCATTCCCAGACAGGCCTCCTCAGTTCGGTCCCCCTATCCCTGGCAAAGGGTATGAGGTCCAATCTGTGGAGGATGAGTCAGGTGCAGGTCCAAATAAGGAGTACCTTGTGAAGTTTTTATACCAGCCACACACTGAAAATCGCTGGTTTACTCGCAAGGAACTTCTGAAGACAGCCAAGTCTGTCATCCTCAAATATGAGGCAGCCAAGAAGGGAGTATCCCTTCGGCGCTCTGCAGGCCTACGCCCCTAGCTCGGAGGTCCTCGCTCTGGGAGAGGGTAGGTCTGCAATGACTTGCTGTTTTCTGGTCGCCTGTAGCCTTTCTCTGTCGAGGTTGTACTATAGGTAGGACAGATTCGCAATTTTGGTTGGCTGAGGGCTAACCGAGAGACCTACCTGTGAGGGAATATATCTGCAAATCCGAGTGAACACAGGCCCGGTACTAACAGGATTCCCTACAGCTACCCTAACTGCGTATAGCAGGCCCGGCCTACCCCTAGGACAGACAGGCCCTAAAGGCCTATTCTGATAGACGGTCCCGGTAGAGGCCGAGAGGCCGAAACAGATACGGTACCGGTCGGTCAGTCTGTCCGGTGTAGGTCGAGTCTAGGCTAGTTGTAGTCTATAGATAGATTGGGCACATCGGTTCAAGGCTTTTGGCAGTTGGTACCGTGTACATCGCTGTTGCGCTACGCGTGAACCGGAAGTGGTGACGGCTCAGTGTGGACCTGTCATATCGCATGGTCAAGTCTCCCGCGTGTTATCTTATCCTGTGCGGTGTGATACTCCTATCCTCTCCCATTCCTTCTGTGTATGTATGGGCATACCTGGAAGTCTATGTGAGCGAGTGTTGGCCTTCAGGCAACGAACAGCCAGAATCATAACAGTGACCTGTGTTTTGTTAGTTGTTGTTGGTCTGTCGTAGGACTGTGCAGATGTAGGGATTCGATCTGTAGGTCTGTCGAGTAGGGGTCACAGGTCTGTAGAGGTCGTAGCTCTAGGTCTACTGAAAGGTCAAGGTCGTAGCTGCTACAGCTCTGTAGAGGTCAAGGTCGTAGATGCTACAGTACTCGAAAGGCCAAGTCCACAGACTTCCGGAAGGTCCCGGAAGTGGCCTTTCGGAGTGGGCTCATGTTTAGGCAGAGGCAAGCGGGCAACTGGTGGAGCCAACCTCAATACGTTGGCAGTGCGACTGCAGTGAGTCTGTGGTGCAAACCCATGCAGTCAGCGGTACCGGTCCAGTCAGTCCCAGTCCAGTCCAGCAAGTACCATGAGGTACTGTGCGCACCATGGGCCGATGGAAAAGGGCAGACCAGCGAGTTACAGAAGTAAAAATCAAGAGGCAGCGCCCAGCCATTAATTCATTCCTAAGTAAGCCATGCGGAAGCGCTGCCATAGCGACTTGTGCGAGGTGGTCTGCAGTGAGCCCGAGGACGAGGAGGGTGAGAAGGAAGTTAGCCATAGCGATAGGGTAGCAGCGGCCATAGCCGCCATAGTTGTAGATGTGTGCGGGCGTGTGCGAGTGTACAGGGTGTTGCGTGTGGGGTATCCAAGGTGATCCTGTGTGCGAACAGCAGTGTTGAGTAAATGACGAACAGAGAGTTGTACAGGCGATGTGCCGCCATAGCCGGTACGCTGCTGCGTTGCATGCATGCTGCGCTGCGCTAAGGCTGAGTGGAGCAGGACAGCGCTAGGCGGTAGGGCGCTGCCTGTGAGCGCAGGGCGCTGGCGGCCATAGCCGGGCTGCCTGTGTGCGCAGAGGGGTGAAGGGCGAAGGTGGTACTTCGGAGGTGAAGGGCGCTGTGTGGGTACAAGGGAGAGTGTGGGTGAAGAGGACACATACCTGGTGGAGGTGGAGGTCGGCATTGGTGTTGACATCATCACTCGCCGGTAGTCAAGTTGTCTGGTTGCTTTCATTGTTGTAGTTGTAGGATAGGCTGTAGAGTAGATAGGGCGTCTGGCGCCATTCACAAGAGAGAGCTACACTTGGGTTATGTTGTTGGTGTTGCCCAGTTGGGCATGGACATTGACTCACGATTCTTCTGTATCATTCTCAATTGGATGGTTACTCGGTTCCATTGTGCTATCTGCTTTGGCTTTGAATACTTGGACTTCAGTGTGATTTTGCATTCTGGATTTCTGTGCTTCGTCCATATTCATGTTCCTTGCAATTTGGTATCGGAGCTGGTTTGATCGCCACTTACCTTTGGCACACTAGCGTTATACAGACTTGGTGCGTTGAGGATGCTTCTTCGCAGTGGGTACTTGTGACGCCAACCCACTATAGGTGCACGCCCTGGGTAGAGAGGGGTGCACCGGAAGGCTGGTATGGCAGTGTATGCCGTGGAATACAGCGGAATGTTTGATTGATGATGAGAGCATGCTGATGTGGCATTGGACTAAGGTGGCACTGCATTGCGTTGTGGGTGGTACTGAGGTCATGACCGGTCATCAAATGCAACTTCAGCTCAATTGGTGAGAAATTTGTGGTTGGGGGCAGCTATCTCCAGGTATGTTGATCCCTCACCTTATCTACCTTCTCAATATCTTCTTACTGTGAGGAAGTGAGTCCAACTTGAGAGTCCTCTCCTTGGTGAGGTGTCGTGAGCGCGCTACCTTGAGAGACGACAATCTTCCCGGAAGCATCTAGAAGGAGAAAGGGCGCTGCCTCTGAAGGGCCCTGGTCGAAGCACTAGCTCACGGTCACCATGCCAACCCACAGGGAGCAGTGCACGCATGCGATGGCTGCTGTCCTGTTTGGCACTTGCTGCGCTCAGATAGAAGTCTTGCCAAGTGTGCCACTCTTGTATGAGACGCTTACCAGACCGTCTATAAACATTTCTGGTTGGGTACTCGGTATGATTCTAGCTGTGATCGTCATCCTGACTGCGACGTTAAAGAATTCCTGAAGAGATGGGGCGCTCTTAATAATCCTCCTGATCAGCCAGATCATCCGGGTGTAAGGCTCGTTTCCGTACGAGGGTAAATAAGAGTGGGCTGGCTGGCTTACTTGGCTCTGACTTGGGCACAGGGGTGGTCCGATACACACACGAAAACACTGCTTTGCTCAAGATGTTGTTCGGTATGTTGGATTGAGGGGACGGTAGGTTCCAATTGGAGCTCAACTGTATACACAACTATACCCAACAATCATACATCTGCTGCATTGTCTTTTGTACCTTTGATTAGTTGGTTGACGGACTGCTAACCTCACAGACAGATTAGTGTAGGACTGTTGTATGCTGCCATAGCCAGTTCTAACTAATGCTGCTGTAAGTGAACCAATCAGGGTGCATCTAGACTATGTAGACAATTTGTGTGAATGTTGTAGACATGCCAATTGATTCGGTATAGTAGGGAACTCACCACACACAACTATTTATAGAAAATTACGTGTCGGTCAGATACATGCTGCGGTAGGATTCCATTAGGGGATTCTAGTGCAGATACTATCTGCCTAACTAATGAGTGGGTCAGACCCTCTTGATGATAGAGCTGACATTAGGAGACTAACACGTGCAGGGGCAATGAGGGTACGGCACGTGTTCCAGGCCTTAGATCCGGGAGAAGAAAGACGGCTACGAAGAGCCCGTGCGCTAGCAGCGAGATAGCAGCAGCAAACGCAGCAGCTAGAGAGCAGGCAACAGCAGCCAAAGCAGCAGCAATGGCTAACGGCGCAAGCTCTGCTGCGTCATCATCTGCGTCCTCGTCAGGGACTAATGGGGGCCAGTTGGGAATGCCAACGAGTTCCACAAGTTCCTCGGGCACTTCTGGTTCCACAGGTTCTAGACAGTCTTCTAGTCAAATGGCGGGCGCGCAGTTCAGCCCGTTGACCCCGCGTTAGAGGGAGCTTAGAGAGATCCAGCAGGTCGAGATGCTCCGCCGTAAGTTAGAGCAGGACCTTAAAGAAGCTACCGATAGAGAAAATGCGATGAAAACTAGAGCAGCGAGGCTTGAAACTTTAGAGGCTGACAAGGCTGAATTAGAGGGCTTGGATGAGTCAACATTGACTGACCCGCTGAAAGTATTGAAGAAGAATATGTTGTCACTGCACGCACACGTGGACAGCAAATTAGACTTCATGCAGAGCACTCTAGACCAGATCCTGGATGCGTTGACAAAGCAGGGATTCCAGCCACCAGCACAATCGCCGTTGCCGTTATCGGCGATGTCAGGCCCCTTTCCAGTTCAAGCTGGTACACAGCCAAGTGGTACGTCTGCAGCAGTCTCACAGACTGTTGCATCTTCTTCTTCGGGTCCAACGGTGGGAGCTACACCACCGCAACAACCTGTTCAGCAATCTGGACAGCCGTAGGGTCAATGGTATCCTAAGACCCCAATGAAACCACCTCTTGCCTTCTCAGGCGAGGGAAAGGGCGAAGAACTCAACACTTGGTTGAGAACAGTCCCGGTTTGGGTGAAGGCCAAGAGAACCTTGCTAGAGGAGAAAGTGGTAACTGCGGCATCTTACCTGGAGGGTAAGGCAGCCAAATGGTTAGATCGTGTAGTTATAAAGGCCGGGTATGGGAGACGCATGGCGGACTGGGCTAAGTCCCTAACGTTAGACCAGTTCATGGAAATGGTAGAAGCTCGATGGCATAACCCACAGGAGGCACAAAAGGCCACTGATGCCATTAACAAACTAGACCAATGCAAGTTCAGGTCAGTTAGAGAGCTTACGACTACCGTTGAGAGCCTGATCCTCGTCTCAGGCATCAACTACAGCGATCAGTTCCTATTGACTACGTTTGTCAAATGTCTCCCAGAGAACATTAGGAACTTGCTAGCCAGCGAGGCACGCACTGAGTACCACTCGTTTGAGACATTGTCTAGGAAAGCCTTAGACTTGGAGGCCACGCTAGGCAATGCTCAACCCACCTCAAGGAATGACTCAAAGAAGAAGAAGAGTCCTCAGGAGTGGAAGAAGAAGGGGGCGAAGTTGATGATGGTTGAGTCTGATGGAACTCAAACTGAGATCGTGAGCTCACTGACGTGATGGACTACTCAGAGTATGACGGCGAGGAGGTAGCTGAGGGTAGCACCCTCGCCGCGGTAGTTAAGACTAAGGCGGCAGGTCGAGGGAAGGGCCAGCCTAGGGGTCAAGGGAAGACCGCCTCCAATCAGACAAAGCAGGCTGAATGGGTAAGGGCAGGTCTTGATCAAGACGTGTGGCGTCACCGCCGAACGCGTGGTGCTTGTATCAACTGCGGGGAATACGGACACTCGCAGTACAAGTGCCAGAACACTAAGGTTACGCAAAAGGTTGCTCCAAAGATGGGGGCAACTTATTCCCAGGCTTCTAGCTCGGGAAACACGTGAGGCCAGTGGAAGTACTAGCTGCTTCTACTCAAGATGAAGTAGGATTGATACCCTCCCTACTTCATGACAAGGCCAAGTCTAATGAACCCTTAGTCACCCCGCAGACACAACTAGACCAAAATATGCTCTGTACGTTAGATGTGCCTGAAGCCTTAGAAGACTTAGAGAGTGAGTGGTCAAACAATGACCCTCGTGAGTCTTGGGTGGCGCTAAGAAAAGGTCCTAGAGGGGAACATTTTGTGGTGGAGGTCGATGTAGGAGGCCGCAAATGTGGTGCCTTCATAGACATAGTGTGGCAGACTGCGTAGCCACACGGGCCCTGTAGGACCTGTCCCGAACATTCAGCCTTAAAGCCTAAAACTTAGGAGCTACAGGCCCCGGTCGTTTCAGCCTGAAAACTGAAAAACGAGGGCCTGCAGGCCCTACTCCGTTTCAGCCTATTTCTGGGTCTTTCAGACCCAGAGTTTTTCCAGCCTGAAACRGAGGGCTATTCTTAGGCCCTAGGCTATTTTTAGGCCCTCATTTGTTTCGACCTGCCCTAAGATTCA